ACAACAAACGGACCAGAATCTTTCCACAGCAGCTACAACAAGGAATTCTACCAACCTCATCCTGACATACACACCGTCATTGGAGTTCTCCGCGGAATACAGGCAGAAAGCTTTACGAAAATAACATCCATTCGTCGTGGAAAACAAAATGTGCCACGATCAGAGGTTGCTGCCCGTTTTCAAAAAACTATCGAGCTATGGAGAACCTACGAGGCGGGCCCTCGAACACACGAAAGTCGCTTCCAATACATTAAAAAAATAGGATATTTGCACCAAGCAAAAAAGATTTAAGGTCTTTCATTCTTCTGACGAGAAGTTTTTAAAAAAATTTCGAAGATACATTTTTTATCGTTTTAACCGTTCTTACCGTTTTTACCGTTTTTACACATTTTACGATCAACTCTCACGTCTTTACCACTTTTACGCTCAACTCTCAAGACATATGGTGAGTTTTATTACTTACTACTTATTTATTTTTTTAAATTCTGATTTCTGATGGGTGATAAGGCGACAACGCAACGTTGCCGCGTTGGCGAGAGCTCCTCGCCCAGTAGCCCCCCTTCCTCCGTTCCCCTCCCTCATTTCGTCGTTTACTCCTCGCCCAAAACACCCGTCGTTTCTCGCCTAAAAGCGTCAGTTTTTGGGCGGGGTCGCCCAATATTCCTGCGCCCGAGCTTTGAAAGTTTCCAAATGTCCAACCGCCACTTCTATTGACTCGATCCACTGTGCGCCGCGTCCGTCCTTCGAGGTTCGGTCGACGGACACCCCCCCCCCTTCTGCCTCGGACACTGTGGGGGGTTGATATCGGTCATAAAGGTTCATTCGCTCTACGCCCACCCTCTTCCGTCAGTCGGTAGGGCCTCCCCTATACGGGGGGATCTAGATTTTTTTCTTTATTCCCTAAGAGCGATTCAGTGACTTGACGTGCTTTGCGATAAATCGATTGATCTGCCCTCTAAACCTATGTGAAAGGATCGATAAATAGGATAGATCGAAAGGTTCTATTATATTTTTTAGTGTGAGTTGAAAGCTAGTTTTGATCATAAAGCAATGCAAATTTTACATCTTTCCTACCCATAAAGAAATATTTCAATGCTAAACAATATAACGATGCTGCGTGGTCAAAACCATCTTTGAAAGCTTGCAGGACTTTATGTCCACCTACCTTTCATCCATTAAATAAATGTCCACCGCTATTAATGTCCACTAAACGTTAAGTCCAGTCTTTATTAAGTCCACGTGATTTAGTGTCCAACAATGAATATGTCCAAAATTTTCCAAATTGTGGACATGTTATGTCCACATTTTCTTCTTCTTATTTAAATGAAAGGGACTACCTCAAAAATAAATGCATACTACTACTACCTTCATTCTTAAAAACATTTCATTCGTGAATCAAGTCATGAAAGAGTTAGTTAGTTATTATAATTTTGAGACATTCAGCGACTCAGGCTATTAACGTCTTTACAGGTAATTTTGAAAATATATAGGAGTATAAACGAAAATTTAGATTTTTAAATTAAGAGAGGTAAAGAGTTTCAGAATTTTGGTGGCAATATTAGGTTCATCGCATGTAAGAGGGTTTGTATTTCTGTTGAATGAAGGGGAGTAGATCTGTGATTGGAGATGTCGGAGGGAAGAGCAGTCCATAAGTATGTGTTTGATGGTTAGAGGTGATGAATAAGAGAACAGACTCTAAGAGCAGATAAAAACATATGTTCATGTGTACACTGTACGGATATGATAAGATGAAAACCAAAGCGGGAGCCTAGGAAACGCTCCAACGCCAAATTAAACATTTTTCAGTAACAGATGCAGTCAAAATTGAAAGTCCTCTTTAACTAGTTATTTCGTGCGCCTTCAATCTTGTAGGATACTGTGCAACGCCTCTGACGCGAAATAGTTGCTTAATAAAGCGTTGCGCCGCGGCAGGCAACCAGCGTGACACGCGCATAGGCGCCTATAAACCTAACGGGATACTTCACGCGTTGCGCAATGCGTGAAGTATCTCGTTAGGTTTGTAGGCACCAGTGCGCGTTCTGCGCTGCTAACACGCAGCTCCGCTCTGTGTTATGCTCTAATATTTAAGCTCGCGGAGTCAGCATTTTTCAACTCATGATTTTGAAATGTTTGTACTCTCCGCATTGATTATTCCCTTTTAAACTGATGGAAAAGAAATATGTACTACTGGAAAATATAATGTGTTTTTTTTAGATATAATGGTGGTTCCGTGTCAAATTTAATGATTTACAAAGCATTCAAATTTATTCTTTTATGTTTTGGGCTTTTACTGTGCTGCAGCATGGTGTAAGCACAACTAAACGCTCAAAATTGGACGTATTTGACTCAAGGGGGGTCGATGTACAAATGAGTTAAAAACAAAAAATTGCGTGCTTCTTAGTTTTTTTCCTCTTTTATTAATTTTTGTATAGTTTCTTTCATCATGACTATGGCTCATTGAGATTCATATCGATGCCATTGCTTGGAAAAAGTTTTACAAATATTTACCACGCTTTAAAAATGTAAATGTTTTTTCAAACTGAAGTAATCAATTTCATCAGAAAAAAAAGAATGTACATTTAAGGCATATTTTACATCGGAAATTTCAAGGATAGAAATGAAACCAAGTATTTACCAAAGACAATTTGAAAAGATGAATCAAAAGAAGAAATTAATATTTCATTTAAAATATGAGTTACGATAACAACACCTCATTCTCTCTTAATTTTTCTCATTTCGATATTGTCAATATAATTTTACACCACAGACTAAAATATGACGCTTGAATTTGATTTTAGTGGACTTTACATTTGTGGACTTAACTTAGTGGACGTTTAAGTGATGGACTTAACAATAGTGTGGGCTTTAGAACTGTGGACGTAAAAATTGTGGACGAAAAGTCTGCGGACGTAAAAAAATTGGACATAAAGCCCGTGTACCCTTTGAAATCAAACAAAAATGTGTCACCTTCCGGCTAAAGTATCACAAGCGCCATGCGACGTTTCAAAAATTTCCGCTGTCATTTTATTTGTTTACAGAGATATTGTCCAACGAAGCTGTCCGAAAATCTCACTGAATTTTCTTTGTGCTGCCGGTAAAATTCAGTCAAATTTTCAAACAGATTCAATCAAAAATGTCTCTGTAAAAAATAAAATGGCGGCGGAAACTTATAAACGTCGCGTGGCGCTTGTGATACTTCGGCCGGAGGATGACGAATTTTTATCCGAGGCTTAGTGTCGGTATATAACCCGGCAAGGGAGCAGAAATTTCTGGAAGACTCTTCAAGCCCTCTTTTGATACAAAAATAAACTCAGTGGCCCGCAACTCATTCTTCATCTGACCGTTAGCGCGAGTTGTCCATGGGAACCTCAAAGTCCGATCGAGGAAACTGACCTTAATGAAATTTTTCTCTCCGGGGACGGCCTCAAGAAACGAATCAATGGAGGCGAGCGGGTGAAACTTTACAGTCTCGATTGATGCTGAAATTCTGCGCTTGAATGCCGCCGCCGGCGCGGCGCGCGGCGCCGGCAATATTTGCAACAAGTCCTGAGCGCCGAGCGCGCGGAGCGGAAAGTAAAGCCACGGTTCCACAGGCGGCGCTCGACGTCAAGAATGCCGCGCAACTGGGTGCAATAGCGAAGAGAGTAGTAAGGGTCAAATTTTCGAAATCGAGTCTCCTTCAAAATTCGTCTAGTCTCCTTAAAATGAAATCGCCGAAATATCTATAACATCAAAATTCTTCTTATTTTCATGAAAACGAGACAAATGAGAAAGCCTCAAGTGCGGAAAAAATGACGTAGTTTCAGGCAAGACAGTAGTAAGTGACAATATTTCTTCACAGAGCCACGAGCTCAGAGCATCCTGAGAGTCCACGTCTACATTAAGACAAACTCCCCATGCGAAGATAGGGAGCAAATACATTAGCAGGGTTGCCGTGTTTTCAGTTTTAGAGTCCCCAAATAAAAAGGCAGCCCTGTCAATGTATTTGATCCCTATCTTTGCAGAGAGAGTTTGTCTTGATGTAAAGGTATGGACTCTCAGGATAGCGTGGGATATCCCCTCCATTTTGGCCTCAACTTGAGAGCTTTTTTTGAGCTTGGGAGTCAATTTTAGGGAAAACCAGTGGCACCATCGTGTTTCTCGCGAACTTTTATGTAAGGATCAATTGTCAAATCGCAAATTCCTCACACATGCATCATCTCCATACGTGTCTTTCTGGGTCGTGATTGTTTACGTAGGGCCAACTTTATGGAGCTCCATGATAGCCTAAAACTGATGGGCCAATCGGAAAGCGGCATGTATATGGCAATACTCTCCCGTATACAGGTACTCTAACTCGATCCACTGTGTGGCGCCTCGCGCGGGGAGCCTCGCGTCGCGCGCCGTCTGTGAAATCGCGGCTGAAAAGCGGAAAAGCGGAAAAGCTCGGCGTCCTTGCTTTCCCGCGGCGCGTGTCGCTCATGCGCCCTGCTTTCTTCCTGGCGCACACCTCGCGTAGGGGCGACCGGGCATCAGCTGAGTCTCACCAGTTGACAGTTCAGTTCCCTATGCAACAGGCTGTCCCGAGCCATCTTGTTCTCCACGAATACATTTAGAAACTCCCTCGCCGCGGGCTCTCGATACTCCCAACCCCCCAACCAGCCCCCCTCCCGTAGTCTCGGGCTACGAGTTGCCAACGCCGCACGCAAACATTCTCCCTCATGGACTGCCCGTCTCCCGAACCCTACAATATGGTGACGATTATAACAGCACGCGTCTTCGTTTAACAGGTTGCCACTCTCCCAGCCCCTCTGTCGCAGGGATGCTCGTCGTGTCGTGTGAGTGGAGCTTGAAAGTGCGCTACAAATAAATTAAAATGAGGCCGATTGACCGGGGAAGTTGCAAGTGACGAAAATCGATCCCAGTCTAGGAAAAATGTGATACAGTGTTTGTGAGTGGAAGGACAGGTAAATTTTCAAGTTTTTCGACATTAATTTAATTTTTTTGGCACGTGTCAGGCTCGCTGAAGTTGGTGTTTCGACGATCCAAAATTTCTCTCCTCGTCCTATATTTTCAGCAACTTTTTCTCTGGTGTGATCAAGTGAATAGATCACAGTAATTCATCTCGAATGGAACGCATCGCCAAATGTTTTTTTATTACAGAATATCGACCAATAAGCTCTACGGGAACTTTGTGTTCTTAATTTTTTGTCAGCCAATCAATATTACCTTCTGAGGAAATGCTGTAAAAATATATTCAGGCAGCCTCCTTTTTTGGGGGTGGGGGGGGGGTTAACTTTAAGAGTTGAAATTTTGCGACACCGTATTCGAGGCTGATACCAGCGTGTTACTCAGTATCGCTGTACATATTGACGGCTCCGATAAATCAATACAAATTTCTAGCAAAGAAAAATCGATCGTTTAGACGAAGGAGTAAAGATGAAACGAGGATAGGAATCCCTACAAAAGCAGAGACAAAGTACACGAAAGTGAGGAGACAATGGTGAGCTTTTAGACACTTTTCTTTCCTTCTTCCCACATCAGGAAAAGTTGTAGACTTTTTTTTCTCTGTTGTAAGACTTGAGATTAACAATATTAAACGATTCGAGGGTATCGACTCAAATTTTTTCTAAAATACGGCATCAATCAGGTTATGAATTTAATTTCTGGTGTGTTTGATTCGAATGCGAAATAAAGGGGTTGAAGCCGAAAAGGCTTAGTTGCATTGGTACGCTGCGAAGTGTCATTTGCAGATTTATTACTTTAATAAAAAAAAATGGTCCAATTTTTCATCTGAACAGTTTCAGTCGACTCTCATTGTCTTGACGAAATTTCCCCGAAATTTTCAAAATAAAGTACCTGTGCATCCAAAAATGAGTCAACAAGCGAAACTTCGCAACATTGCACTGTAATTGAGCCTTTTAAGCTCCGATCGATTCAAAACTACTGTTGGATCAGGAACACCAAGAGTTGCGAGGCGAAAAACATACGATGACAAGAGACTGATGAGACGATACATTTTTGACACCCCACACCATCCCTATCTTCCCACGCTGTACATAAGTTTTTTCTCCGGGAGTCCACAAAACTTCGCCCTTCTGACGTAAGGACGTACCTCAATTACCACGTGAGCCCTGGTTTACGTAAAAATCTATGCTTTCTGGGGCTCATGAGACGCACCCTTGCGTCAGAGGAGGGACGAAAACTCTCTGCCTATCGATGATTGATCGATGGCCCTGCCAAAAATGAACTTACTAGTTGGGGACAGTGGCGTGGCGTGCTTTGCGATACATCGATTGAGCTGCCATTAAAACCTGTGAAATATGATCGATAAACAGGGTGTTCACGACGAACGCCTTAATAATCGATTCTTTACCATAGGTTTAAATAAAAATAAAAAGGTTTAATAAAATATCGATATAATCGATCATCCACTCCTCACCACTGGTGGGGGACCCGGAACTCCGTGTTCAAACGCGTGAGGTTTCATGCAATTCCTTACACGGAGAAAAAAAAACTTCGTGCGTGGGGCCCGAAGTTGAGGTCATATGGATCTCTGGAGTTTTCGGATCACGTATCTAAAAACTTGAGGTCGAGCTGCCGAAGTACGGGTCAGACATCTGAAGTACTTCGATATATACCGAAGGGTTCGGGTCAGACATCTGAAGTACTCTGGTACATACCAAAGTGCCTCGATGTCTGACCCGAACTTCGGCAGCTCGACCTCAAGTTTTCGGATACGTGATCAGAAATTTCAGAGATCCATACGACCTCAACTTCGGGCCCCATGCACGAAGTTTTTTTCTCCGTGTAGAACACCGTGTGGCATTAAGAACGATCACAGAGGTAGAGTCAGTTTATGAAAATGGGAAGTCTGAAATCAAAACATGATACATGATGTAGACATCAAACATGATGTAGATTGAATCCGAACCCTGTGCGCCGAGAGTAGCATACGGATTTTAATGCAATGTAAACAATGAAAAGCAATCGATGGTGCAACACTCATGGCAACATCGAAAAACGTACCCTGCACCGCACAGAAGTCCCGCATTCGGTTTCTGCGGGGGTGTTAAGTGCTTAAAAGTAACTTTGATTGTCCCATAAACAAAAATCAGCCTGGCTGCATTTTTTGATATCGTCTGATTCTCCGCAATGTTTTAAACTTCAAACAGAAACCCAACGGTTAGCTTTAAAATGCTCTAATTCTTTTTCCAATTTAGAGGAAATTCATATAAGTTTTTGAGGCATTAAGTTGCTTCCTTTTTTTCTTCTTTCAAACAGATAATACATGAGATGAGAGGATCTTGGGAAACCTGAAATGAACCGCCAATGAGCCAGAAATATCAGTCCTCCCTCATTGCAAAAAATAGTTCAAGTGCAGTAAGACTGCCGGTTAAATCCATTCCTTCACGTCAGTGATTTCAGGTAGGAGCGAGGAAAGAGATACCTCATGAGGAGACCACTAGAGCGGCGCAGTGTATTGGGCTTTGCCCATTAAGAAAAAAAAGGAAAAAAAAAAAGAGCTATAGCGTATAGACGCTATTAGTGCCACGTCACAGTCGGTATCGATTGTATCGAACTGGATCCAAACAATCAAACATAACTTCATCTTGACACCTCCCTCCCAGAATTTCACTGTCAAAAGCCAAGAAACTGGAGTGGCATAGGAGTGGCCTAAATCATGGTGGCCCTCGTGGGTATTTTCACCTTTCTGAAACTGCTTTATCCCGTCAACTTAACAATGCGGGAACGTTCCGCGATTAAAAGAGCTGTCTCTAACACAACTTTTTTCTCAAACTGAGCGAATTATCTCTGAAATTCTTTAGTTTCATATTGAATAGTAAGGTTATGTTTGATTGTTTGGATCCAGTTCGATACAATCGATACCGACTGTGACGTGGCACTAATAGAGTCTATAAGCTCAGATACCGTCCACGCAATTGACGTCAGGCAGCTAAGGAGAGGGGGGTCTCGTCTAGAGGTACCTGACAAATGCAAACAATTAAATTAGAGGTACTTGACAGGGGCCTGAAAGGGAGAAAGGAGAGTTGGGGGAAAAATTGCTTCACGTCATAGGCGGAACTATGGCGGCGGAGGGAGGTCTGGCCCCTCCAGAAATCGACACTGATTGTATGAAGGAATTTGCAAACTAAATGCGTAATATTTCTATCATTGGGTTTTAAATATTTTTTCAATGAAAAAGGTTTTAAATAGAACGATTTCAATTTTTCAAAAGTTTTATACGACCTACGAGCTGCCCTCCTTTTCATGGAGGTGAGTGAGTCTCTCAGAACCTCCTTGAAGCTGGACGAATCCTTCCGGATCCCCTCGGTGAAGTTTTTTTTTACCGGTGCCCCTAATTTCGTGGCGTACCTTGTGATAGATCGATTGAGCTGCCATTTAAACCTATGGAAAGGGATCGATAGACAGAGTGTTCGCAACGAACACTTCAATAATCGATTCTCTACCACAGCTTCAAATAGGGTGAAATCGATAATCGACCATTCACGCCTCGCCACTTTGTTCCCCCCTAAATCTCCTTTATCAGTATATCAGTACTCTCCTATGTCACAGCTCCACTAAAAAGCCCAGATCCGTCCATGTTTGACGTCAACATTATGGACGCAAGAATTGCAAATTCTATACAACCGTCGACGTTTTAACATCACCGAGCGTCATGCGCTTTCGTTAAGTGCGTTAAGTATTTCGTTAATTTCACCTAGAAATCAGGCTCTGGCGCTTCATCCAGATGAAGAGCCAAAGCCGAACGTGGGACTGAAAAAAAGGGATATAGCTTTTGTCTTTGTCGTGTTTTCACTTTCTGTGAAAATGCTTGCTGCTTAAGTAAAAAATCACTTTCACTCCTGTAACATCAATGAAATTTGGGATAATATTAAAACGCTGGTGCCATGCCGGTGTCCGTTCCACACTTTCGCGCATAATAACCTCTCAATTTCCGCGCAATATGGGGGTTAAGGAGACTTTCTTAGGACCGTCGCGGGAATGCATACAACTCGGTAATCTATAATTCCAATTAGCTCTCGATAATTGCATGGATCATAGCCGCAACAGTTCATGACACTCCCAAAACCACGCACATTCTATTCTGTCACAAAAACATCGACGATGGTTTAAGGTACCGATGAATGTGGCTCAAAAGCTTAACGGATTTATTTTGAACCATGAACTTTTGCTCTTGAAAAACATTAACTTTGGCATTTTTTCACTCTTCATTTGACGGAAATGCATCTTTGATTTACTGCATATTATACCTCTGTTTCAGACAGATTCATTAATTTGTTTAAAAAAAAAAAAAAAAAAAAAAAAAAAAAAAAAAAAAAAAAAAAAAAAAAAAAAAAATGGACTGAAGCATAGTCCCAGCTGTAATTTATCTGTCGAAAGTTGTTTGAAGTCTTGCACGCCCTGGCAGAATATCTATCCACCAGTGGCGTGGCGTGATTTGCGATATATCGATTGATCTGCTATTTAAACCTATGGAAAAAGATCGATTTACAGGGTGTTTGCAGCGAACACCTAAATAATCGATTCTTTGCCATAGATTTAAATGGCATAACAATCGATACATCGCAATTCACGCCACGCCGCTGCGAATGCGCCCAGCTCGACCGCAAAAACTTTTCAGTAATGACGTCAGAGTAGCCAAGAAACGAATAGAGATCTTCCCCCAGCCTCTTAACGACACTACTTTCGAAGCTTCACGCCCTCAACTCAATCCGTGAAGTAACTTTCTTTTTTGCAGTCAGTAAGATGTTCTGTAAAAGTCGAAGGGTAAGACCGCGCCTGATGGCTAAATTCGAGGATGCTAACCGCTGAGTGATGGGTTGGAGATTATCGGTGGAATTCGGAAGGGGGGGGTGTAAAGCTAATCAGTGGCGTTTCATGACTGAAAAAAATAAGCTGGGTTCTCCTTATGGAAATGGAGACTTGAAACGAGGCGATTCAT